CAGGAATAAAATATGAGAAATACGTTTCCTCGAGGCATACGATTCATTTTGCCGATCCTTCCTGCCCTTAACGCGGTTGAAAAGAAAAACGGTAGAAATCGCGAAAAAAGAAAAAAAAACATGAGAAGGCACGTGGTATTAACTCGTCATATCGAATTTTCTTTTTGATCATCTCTGAAAAATTTTATCTTCATATTTATCTAATTCCCAGCATTATAAATCACAAGCAATAATATGATATAAATTTAACCATAATATATGTGATTATATTGTGTATTTTTCATATTATATATATATATAAAATGTGAAAAATATATATGTATATATATATTTATACAATAATGTTATTATTTAATTTAATTATATATTATAATGTAACTGAGTAAAATGAATAACACATACATAAAATATACAATAATAATGACACAATAAATTCTTTGGCGGTAGAATATGCATTTTTTTTCTTTTATCATAAATTAATCACATAGTATTTCATCACACCGCATTTTATAATTGAATCTTAAGCTTTTTCTTATCTCACGATGCGGCCAACGATACTTTAATGATAGTCTTCTGTGTTCCGAGTATCACTGCCATTGTTGACGCCTTATCAAATTCTCGTACGAAGCTCCGGGGAATTGCGGAATGACGGAGCACAAAGCACCGAACGAGATACATCGTATCGGTCGCTGTGCACTACGCGCATCCATACGCACTCAACCATCTATACGTATACATCCTGCTGCCAATACCGATCAACTCTCCGCATCGACTTACCCTTCTCTCTTCCGCTCTCTGCCACTATCGGGAGAATGGTGTGTGACCATTGAAATTTCGATCAAACTGCTCCGATAAATCGGTGGCTTTTCAAAGCCTCCGGAGGACCAACGTCCTCCGATTTGTCTCCGAGTCGTGTAGATTTCGTTCTACGCTCTCTCGACCATAGCATCGCACGGATTCCTGTGCACGAACGTGGTTACATGCGTCCATCATAGTCGATATAAAAACTACCTCCATCACCGCAAAGAGCCATGGACAAAGAAGGCCTATAAAAAAATTTAGCCGCTTAAAATTTTACATAGCACTATTTTTCTTGTTTTCCTTGTTTCGCGCGCATTTCTCTTTACACGCATGTGAGTGCACAAATCATCTAATATACAGAATATTCTAAAATTTTCACATCATTATTTTTAATTATAAGTCTCTTAATTAATAAAAAGTCATTTTTTTCTTTAGTAATATTTCAATTAGGCATAATTTTTCTATACAAAATAATTTCCAATATTATATATTTTTAAAATATCATATCTTGGATTAAGATAAGATTATAGTAAAGTTTATTTAAAATAGACAAATAAATAAGATTTTCCTATATACATATATAAAATTTGTATGCCAAATCTAGTATTTTAATTCAAGGTATATTTATAAAATGATAAACATTCTAATAAAAATTGTCAACATAAAATATTGTTAAGAAAAAATTGACCTTTTTTTCAGGGCACAAAACTTATATTTATAAAAGATAATGGAGAAGCTTTTTAAAATATCCCCTTTATATAATAGATGATTATACATATATTATACATACAATCAACTTAAAAGTTTAGAGAGATTTCTTGTTTCTAATTGCTTATATATTCGAAAATAAATATTGCCGGAATATTTATATTAGAGAAAATTTATATCCTTAAATTGATGAGAAAATTGAGAGCAGTTTGTAGGTTTAATAATTCTGAGACATGTCTGCACATCCCTGATGTGCATTTATCTCTATCAGACCTCGTTGAAAAACTGGGGTAGCT